CTCTGAACAAAGAGAGGTTTTCATTTGTCCTGAATCCAGTCTCTGACACAGACTGTACCTTCAACATTTACACGTGACACCACCTCGAAAAGAGAGGGCTAACATCTAGAGATCAAAACTGTCATATCCCAGATCTTCCGCCTCCTTCCATCCTATCACTACACGACTCCTATGACCTCCACCAGTCCTCCCAATCTCTCCGCTGCCTCTGGTCAACACCAATGACCCTAGGTGTCAAAAACCCTGAACAAGGGTAAAGTGCATGAGTCTGAATGCAGGTGGGGTTCAACTAGGGGATCTGAGAGTTCCGGTAGTGGACCAAAGCTTCTCCAGGAAGCCCAGGTCTGCTGGGTGGTACAAGAGGCTCTAAGAAGGACATGGCCTCAGCGACTTGGAGGGAGCGCTGTGCCTCCATTACGTCTCAGTTAGTCCTTTTATTTCATGTGTCTGAGGTATCTTGTAGGAAGGGGTTGGGATTCACTCATAAAGGGACTTTTAGTTGAGATTAGAACTGAGGTACAAAGGGTTCTAATCTACAGGTATATATAGAGGGAGGAAGAGAAGGACTTTAGTCAAAGTCTGTTAGATCGGGTGGATTCAGACGACTCCGGAATGGAATCAGAGACTTAGCATGGAAGTGTCAGGGCACACCCACCTGACCTGGGTCCACCCGGACCCACCCGGCCACACCACACCTGCTCCCCACTGTCCATCCCTCTCCCTCCTCCTTCCTCCCTCTCTTCCCCTTTCTTTTCCCTCTTCCTTCTCCTTTCTTTATTTCATTCTTCTCATCTTCCTCTCCCTGTTTATTTCCTTCTATCTACATGGACCATCTTCCTTTGTATCGATGTACTATTGACCCGTCCGGCCCACACACCCTGGATGGCTTCCCGCTGTGCCCAGCATGCGTGCATGCAGCGGATGCTCTCGGGATCCCCCACGGGGACACCTGGATGCCTGTGGCTGTCTCCGAGGATGACATGGCACTTGTCATGTGACTCAAGCCGCATGTACATAAATGTACTTGAAGTGGGAATCAAAGAAGTAACCTTCTTCTCACATTCTCCACTTCAGTCTGAGTGGCCAGGGACCATCGTCCTGGATCGGGCCCGCCAGTATGCATGCCCGCTCCACACCCCGTGACGGCCTCAGTGCCAGGCATTACCCCTGGGCCCTCTCTACCCTGGACACATCCCTGACAGGAAGGACCTTGGCCTCAGCGACTCATGTGGAGTGCTGTGCCATTGCTGGTTGTCCTAGGGGTCCCTAATTTCGGATCTAGCAAAGGAAAGTCTCTTGGGGGGAAATCAAGTCGATTTCGGACTGAGGTTACAAGTTACTATGTACATTGTATATAAGGAGGGGTCCAGAATCAAAAGGAGCAAGGGTACTCTGAAAGGAGACAAAGGGAGCTGGAAAGAGGAACAACACCGAGGGTCAAGGGTTTGACTCAATGGTGTTTCCCAAAGGAGGAGTGAAGGGCCAAGGCCCAAGGAGGAAGGAAGGAGGATGGGAGTGGGGAATGGCCAGCTGACTGAATAGAAAGGAAGCAGCAGCCCAAATAGGAATGAGGGAGAATAGTGGAACTGAATGGAGCAATGCAATAGTTGCAAGGTCTGATGTAAGTCCAGAAAGTCCGAACTTGGAAGTTAAACTCTGGAAGATTGGCAAACATAATTAAATGGAATGAGCTAACCAATACAATGGGTATAAGCGGAGGTGGGGTCAAACTCCGAGGTCGGAGCTAAGACTGAAGGTTCCAGAGACAGAGACACAAACAGGATTCTGGAGTGGAGGTCCAGAGTCAGGAGCATAGGCATTGCATACTTGTCTGGAAGGTTTCGAGGTTGGGGTCAGGCCCAGAATGTTCCAGAGTCGGACCGAAGGTGGTGTTGGAGCTGGAGGTGGGATAACCTCTTGGGAGTCGGCAAGGAGAAGGAGACGGAAGGGAAGTAGGGCTCCAGAGTCAGTTTCGGAGTTCTGGGAGCCTGGAGTGGAGGTTGGGATTGTATGGATATGACAAAGTCTGAGTGATACTGACAAACACCAAAAGGTGCCAAATGATACCGAATGGTACTGAATGGTCCTGAACGATATCCTTAATGGGTAACCAAGGTGTCAGGTTGAGGGCGGAGTAGGAGGCCAGAGGATGAATGGGAACAAGAAATGGTGGAAAGAAGACAACAGTCGTACTACAAATGGATGGTGACTAATTTATGAGGACGTGAGCAGGATCACCAGAGGATGTGGGTAGCTCTGAAGCCGGAGTTACATATCCAAAGGATGTTGGGTGACTCCACTAAATGAAATGAGAGGAGGAATGGTTTAGAGGTATGTTACAAGATGTCGGAGATCCGTCGGGAGATTGGAGCAGATCCAGAGTCTCTGAATGTTCTGACTTGGGGCCAATGTCAGGGTTCAGCACCCTGCCTTAGGGTGCCCCGGACTCCCCACCTACTTTACCCCCTTTTATTCTTTGACTGTTGCCTTGTTGTTGCCTTTGTGTGTTGTGTACATGCGCACACACGGGATAGCGTGGGAACTTTCTGAGCAAGCAGCTTGCCCAGAATGTTCCCACGGGTCACAGCCACAGTTCTGGGCGAGCAACTCACCCAGAACGTTCCCACGCTTACTGGGCACTGCCACCTGGATGTTCCCTCCGGGTCACACTACACAACTCTAGGAGCTGTATAGTTGTGGGCATGTGACCCATTCCTTTATATAGCAACCATGCGGGGAGATGAGACCTTTACCCTTCTTCTCATCTCATGCCCCACATAGTGTGAGGACAGGTTAGATGGGGGTTGAGGTCAGGGAGCCTCCAAGTCCGAGGCTGGGCCCTGACAGCCAAGCTTCCAGGATGGGAGTGGCCAAGGTCAAGTGTGCCAGGATCCAGGCTGGAGCTGAGACAGTTGGGAAGGAAGGTGACATTGGGAAGTGGGGGGATATGGTGTAGGGGATGGTGAGGTTGTTAGGAAGGTGTACTGAGGTGGGAGAGTGTGGGGTCAGGATTCTGGGATATGACACTAGGACTACCTCCTCCTCCAACTCTCTCCCACTTTGCTACCCATCTATGTCTGCATCACCACCATACCTCCACCTCCTCGGACACCTTGTTCAAAGGAGTTGGGCTTGCTTGTTGTTGATAAATCTCAACTTGCCTATCCACCCTCCTTCCTGCTTCCAGTCTCCACACCTCCGGTACCTCCTCACCTCCAGTACCTCCTTACTTCCTATCTTACCTCCAGTCTTGATATTATTGTTTTATCATTTGATATTTTCTATAACCCCAATCTTCTGGACTACAACTTCCGGGTTCCGGACCTTTCCAGACGTCTTTTTCTGTAGTTCCCTGCTTGTTCATAGATGCTTCCAGACCTTACCATTCAGTTGGCTTTTAATTCTCTCACTCCACAAACCTCAGACGTAATTCGTGCTTTTTGCCTATTCTTATTTGTCTTGTGGATTCTTCTCTATTTACTTCTGCTTCCCCTTGGTAACCTTTGTTTACCTTCAGATCCAATTGTTTCTACTATATGTACCCACGTACCCTTCTAGTAAATAATCCCCCCAGTTATAATATAAACAGTCTTCAGCCCTCCAAAACCTCCTCCAGGATGTCTATCGCATTCCGCTTGTCTGCTGCTCCAAAGAACTGAGTAACATGCGCTCCTAGAGATGCCTTGGTATAGCACCCAAAATGAATTGCATGACGAACGATTGACCCTTGCTGATGTCTCCTTCGTTAAGTAGTGAGGGGGGGGGGCTTCCGCCCCCCTTCTGCTGGCGGCCTTGGTTCCTCCATTGCCAGCTCCCCTGGCAAATTGGGGACAACAAGAACGTTGAAAGAGGGCTCGTGGCTCTCTATGCCGACTAAGCTCATGGGGCCAAACTCTCCCTAAACTCCTACTTCTTGACTAGACTTTGCTATGCTCTCGATCCTTAAACTCCATGTGGGTTCTCTGGGATTCCACAAGGTCTGGGCTCAGTGTCCACTACTCACTTGTTGTGAGCTAGATCACTGCCCTTATTCCTACTGTTGGAATTCCACACACTCACACCCTCTCTAGCGCATCCTAGCACCTTAGAGAAATTGGGGGAGGGGAGAACTTCTTTTCCAAAATCCGGTATGTACAGAATATAAGGAACAATTATTTTTAGAATAATTGATGGGAAATATTGGTACCATATGGCACCTGCATACCTTATTAGGCGAAATAATAAAAAAAGGGTAACAGTAACAATAAAAGAATATCAATCAATATCTGAAATGATGGCAAAATATGAAAATATAAGGAAATAAGCGATTTCTCAGCGGATTTACGGAATTAAGGGCCGAAATTGGAAATGAAGCCAGAGATAAATCTCACACAGCCGATAAGCATTTTTACCAATTTATTAGATGCCGTGGGAACGAGTGAGGCAGGAATTCTGGGTTGCTGCTTGAGATTCCCACGCCTGCACATGCCTGTGCCTAACTTGCCCAACATGGAACTCCATCAAATCTCCACCATGTGGGATGTTCTTGGTACCGTCAGAATCGTACGAATTAGCACTATTTTTAGATATCAATTCCATACTGAGTCGTTGCATGAATGAAAGGTGGTTTTCTAATCGTGGAAGCGGGTGTCCGAGCCAGCGCTGCGTGGGGCGATTATCCCATCTACAACATACCACGCACAGCGCTCCATTCCAAGTCACTGAAGCCGAGTCCCTTCAACACCCTGTCACCCTTGGAGCTCCGCCCCACCTCTGGTCTGTCTCCGACCCACTGTTGGGTGACCTGGAACATCAAGCTCCACCTGACAGCGTCACCTGGATAGCGATCAGACCTATCCTAAAGAACAACCACCATTCTGACAAAAACACACCACAACCCACCATAAAAAACCCTATCCTCACCCACTCACCTGATCTCCTATCAATGGACGATCACAAAAAGCCTGACCCCGGTGGGATGGATGGCACCAAAAAGACTACTAGCTCAAACAACACATGACATGCCATCAACCAATGAGCATTATACGACACACAATCAGGCACTCCTCACCAGCACCACCAGTTTAACTCATGTGGCAACAGTACAAACTTGCAGTCCGAACCAGATCAACAAGATCCCTGGGACACCACAGTGAAAAAGACCCATGTGACCAAAACTAGATTCGACAATAGGTACACCAGCCCCCTCCCTAGCCTGACCACCTCAAGCAGCCATCTGGTGGTCGAAAGTATCCAGACTGGCAGACCAACAACCCCGGACTCGGACTCACCAGCAGACCGATGGGAAGTCGACACACCCCCACTGGCTGAACATCATCACCTCACACCCACACCCCAGTTGCAACTTGGGACAGAGGACGATGTCATGAGGTATGCCAATGAAAGCCCTGTAGCAGAGAAAGGAGACCAGACACATAGGACTGTCTACAACATGTTTGAGGCAATGCACGACCTAACTGACAGATTTAATGGCATTAGACTCGCAGGCTTGTGGGAGAACTTCCTGGATGAGTACACGCTATGGTATAGTAAGCTACCAAGGCTGGCAACCCTGGATACCTTCCCCACCCCTTCACATGACAGTGAACTGGAAGAACAACTGAAAACAGTCGAATCTAACATAAGCCACCTGACTGAAGCTAATGCATATTTGGCAGATAGACTACTAACTACAGAGACACCCACCATGGCTGCCCAGCCACCCTCCCCCATAACTGTGACACATGCGACCTGAACACGATGGTGGCACCAATGGAAAACCCACCCCCAACCAAAACCAACTGGGTCAAGACATCCTGGGTGAGCGTAGTGGCAAGCCCACCTCCAGCTGTGCCAGCACACACAGCATGACCCGGACCCCACATGACAACCACGGACATGCAGGCACCCACCACAAACCCTCACATCCTTATCATATGCATCAATCCACCAATCCCACCAGACCAATGACCAAATGGCCTAGCGACCTGCAAGAAAATCAACAACATGCTTGACACAAAGAACCTTCCACACTACCTGAGAGTCATGGCAGTCGGATACTCCCTAGCAGGCAACATCAAAATTACAACAGCCCCCACTTGCTGTGCCACGGACTTGGAAAAATATGGCAAAGATAAACAAGATCCCCATGCATTGCGACAACATCCTGATTCCAATCAGCATGATCCACAAAGAGATGATGACCTACATCCCCCAATACAGGGAGCTAAAACAATGGGGCCTGCTCAAATGGCTTGGGTTGGATGAAATCATATACGCTAAGAATTTCACTTCAATCATACTAGACCTAGCTAACAAGAAAGACAGAGACGCTATCTTAGCGCTGTAGGAGAAATAATATTCAAAGAATAAAACAATGATCTATCAGAATAGTCAACAATCAGGTGACAAGTTCAGATGTTTAACAGATCTCATGATCTTTATGAGACTGGACAGACATTAGAAGATCATTATAAATTATCTACACCCATGTAGCATGAGATTTAATCTACTACAAGCATGCCTAGAACCTGGCATAGGTGTAATATTCAAAGAATATATCCCTACAACAAGAAAGCACATAGACAGCAGAATAAGAAGGAACATTGGAAAAGAAATGTGAATATCACGGGAACCAGTCAACTTTTGACTGTAATCTTTTTACCATATGAAAGAACTGTTTCTAAACTTTATCCACGGTTTTGTTTCATTCTAAAAGCTTCAAAACTGACGGAGATATCGCTCAAACGGCGAAACACCTTATAATTCATATATATTTATTTGCTAATTCTTTCAAAAAGTAATGTGACTCAAGGAAAACATATTGGCGCCCAGAAGTCTGGCGGACCAAACAACATATGACAGAGTATTTCCCGGCGCGGGCGGACAGTTTTTGATCGCATCAGAAGAGGAGGAGATGCTAAAAAACTGGATCATGTATATTTTCCCATGATTCATCAAAACCTTTTGACTTTAAGCTCAAATAAATCGGAACAAAGGAATGATTGATAATCTGGATCTCGGATCATAAGCATAAAGTGATTCAGAAGTCCGTGGATTAGTTAATTTATTGGGAAAGCTCTAGAACATTAGTAATGATGCGGCTTCACAAAAAGGGGTGAATTAGAGAACAGTCTAGAAAGTTCCATTATAGCCGAGTCATTTCTAAAGATAACCGTTCGTAATTAAGGCGGTGTAGAGCATAGCTTTAGCGCTACAAGACCCTGCTAAGATCGGCCCAAAAGACAAAGAACTGAATTACTTATTGCTGAGTCATGTCCTACATCCATTATTAAGCTTACACAGCCCAAGCCCCTATATCATTCTAGAACTATCTATAATACAAATGTAGCACATGTAACTAGTGCGAGGCATGGGAGTAGAGAGGCCTCTGAAAAGCATAAAAGGCCGCCGCTTCTGCCCCCTCTCAAACCTCAGGTAGAAATATAAGTTTAATTCTCCTCACCGTTTGTTTGCTCCAAAAGATAAAAGCAAATATTAGTTGTTAGCTAATATAGGTGGAGGGACTTCTTAATTGAATAATCTCTCAGCAATACTTGGTTATCACACCACAGGAGAAAAGTGAGCAATCCTGAACCTGCTAGATAACTAGCACGCACTCTAAGCGATAGAAAAAGCAGTTTGGTTACTCCTGTATTGAGTAACATTTATTGTGGAATTATTTTATTAGTAGTTTTCTTTCAATAAATTATCAGGAAAATCATGTCCTACTGAAAAGTGGTATATCTAGGTGTAATATTGACTAGAAATCATAGTAAAGTCAATATAGAAATTCCACCTGTAGATGATCTATATGTCAGGTGAGATCGTTGGGGGGTGTTTATTGTTGTTTAGACAGTGAACAATTATATATTTGGCAACCAAAACATGGTCAGTATGCAAATCAGCACAAACTCTAATATTGTTATTGGACGTAGGAAACTGGTTACATAAGGTGATCCAGCTCCGCTCCTTCAGCACTCCAAGCCAGCTTTTTATTTAACTACAGATGCACCATCACCCTGTATGAGGAATGCATCCAAGTCCACACTTGCAGTAAATGTGGCATGTTCTTGCATTGCATGCAAAACTGCAGACAATCATGATGCTTCGAATGCAGTTTGAAAGACCACACCACAGGGGAACACCCACCTGATGCACAACTACAATGCATCAACTGCAAAGAAGTGCACACGTGTGACCACAAGGAATGCAATGCCAGGAGGAACAGGATGGGCCTCAAACCCATCCAAAAGAACCTCATGCCCACACCTATGCCTGCCACATCAACCCTGCAACCACTGCAACCCAGGCAGAAAAATAAGAGAAAAGGTAAGGAGAAGCACCCAAACCTGACTGAACGAGAGGGTGAAGCCTCAGTTAACATCAGCCTAATGGGTGATGATGTGAGCCGCATCCTAACCCACAACTAGTCATGGGAAGCCCAAAGGGCATCCACAGCGAGACTGGTGAACTCAAATCTAAAGCCCACCCACTATGTCCACCCCTCCATGCCATCAAAATCAGGGGAAGAACAGATGGATATTAAAGAGACGCCCTCCCCCCAATCCCACCTCAATGACCTATAAGCCCAAACTACCAACTGCCCTTACAGTTTGTAGCATAAATGTGAACCGTTCCAATGCAGCCATGCAAGCTGTAATGCAAACAATAGTAAAATGCAGGAACCCAAGAATGGACATCCTGCTGATACAGGAACCGTGGTGGGAAAAGATCAACAGGACGTATGCATCAGTCACCCTAAAGGGATGGCAAACAGTACTGCCCAAACTCCCAATCAACACTGGCAAATGGCCAAGGTGCCTGGCATATATCTGCCAGAGCTCACAAATTGACCTTACACTCAGAAGTGACCTAGCATCGGACCTTGACTACATGATATTAGAGGTCAAGAGATGCGGTACAAACCACCCCCCAACCAGACTAGTTAATATTTACAACCAGAAGTCACTAGCTGCCCTGCAAAGCTGGGAATTCACAATGAACAGGCTAGCCAACTCCAACCTGGATATCAACATCCCCACCATCCTGATGGGAGACTGGAATATGCGACACCCAGACTGGGGTGACCAAATACCCTACCCATGCAACTGCACAACTGAAACACTAGAATGGCTTGAAGGGAATACATTTGCACTATGTAGTGAACCAAATGTCCCAACACACACAGACAGCCAGGGTCACTCATCAGTCATTGACCTCACCTTTGCTAATGCAACAGCAATTGAGGCAGGTGTCCTAACAGGACACCATGTGGACACAGAAATTGGTTGTCTCTCGGACCACCATGCACTAGTTTTCCAAATAGGCCCACCCAGAGAAACGGTAGAGAACCTGTGTGAGGGGAGTGTCATATCCCAGAATCCCGACCCCGCACTCCCCCACCACACCATACCTTCCTAACAACTTCACCATCCCCTACACCATGACTCCCCACTCCCCAAGTCACCTTCCTTCCTAACTGTCTCAGCCCCGGCCTGGTTGCAGTACACCGAACCTTGGCCACTCCCATCCCGGAAGCTTGGTCCCAAGTCGGAACATTCGGAGACTCCGGATTTGCTCCGATATCCTGATGGATCTCCAACATCCTGTGACATACCCCTAAACCATTCCCCCACCCATTTCATTTATTGGAATCACTGTCAGGGGACGCCTGGTTATCCAGCCCCCCTTTACTCTAAGCAATATCAATGAGGTAATTGTTAGCTGAGATTGCATGAGATAATTACGTAGTTAGAACACAGATATAACTCATTGCGCTATATTCGCTATCACGTCACCCCTTACCCGATATTCCCTCATTTCCCGCATCTTCTATCTTCCTATTTGATGTCATGTTTCTATTAGTTACCATCTTCCCAATGTAACTGCGCTCTCGTGAGTTAGCAGAACTCATGTACACAAGGCTACTATGCCAGCTGGGCTAGCCCCCCAGCTTTGATATCGACTAGTTTCCTGGGGATACTCTTACGCTGCAAATAGATGCGCGGACTCTGACAATCACCCAACATCCCTCAAATACATAACTCTGCCTTCAGAGCTACCTGCATCCTTCGGTGACCCCACTCACGTCATCACTTACTAGTCACCTTCCATTTATAGCACGACTGTCTTCTTCTTTCCATTCAGTCGGCTAACCCCCTCTTACCCATTTCTCATTCCCATTCACCCTCCGGCCTCTTACCCCACCCTCCTTGACCCGACACCTCGGTTCCCCATTAAAAGGTTATTGTTCAGGACCTTTCAGTACCTCTCGGTATCATTCGGCATCATTCAGTGTTTTCTATTATCATCCGGACTTTGACTAAAGTCCTTTCCATTCCTCCATATAAATACCTGTAGATTAGAACCTGTAGTTTTCCCTAGTTCTAATCTCAACTAAAATGTTACCCCAAGTCCCTCTGAGTGAATCCCGACCCCTTTCTACAAGATACCTCAGACACAAGAAATACAAGGACTAACTGAGACGTAATGGAGGCACAGCGCTCCCTCCGAGTCACTGAGGCCGCGTCCTTCTTAGAGCCTCTTGTACCATCCAGCAGAACTGGGCTTCCTGGAGAAGCTTCGGTTCACTACCGGAGCTCTTGGATCCCCTCTAGTTGAGCCCCGCCTGCATTTGGACTCACGCATTTTCCCCTATGTTTGGGGTTTTTGACAGGGAGTCTCAACTGGAAGCATGCATCAGAGGAGAAGTTCTCTGAAGCTCTAACAGCAACTGTTGAATCCAACAGAGATGCACACAATGTCCTAGTCTCCACACTACTCAATGGAAACTGCACCTCTGCATCCAATGGGGAACTGGATGAAGCCATGGCAACCATCCACAGCTACTTAGAGAAAGCAGCTGGCATTGCAGTCCCAGTCAGACGCCCCAGCAAAGCAGCAAAACCATGGTGGATGGAGGAGCTCATGACTGCATACCATGAGCTTTGCAAAGCAAAAGAAGCACTCAAAGCATGGAGCTGGGACTTCCACCACCCTGCAACATACCTGACAGACCAAGTCAAGTCACTCCAGAAAGAGGTACTTTCCCACATAAGGAAGACCAAACAGGAGTACTTCTGCAAAAACATGGAAGACACTACCCCCCAGAACATATGGCAACTGAAGAAGTGGACGAAGTGCCACAGAACATATGTATCCCCACCAATATCCTGTGGGGAGAACAGGGCCCCAGCTTTAAGCCATGAGGAGGAATGCCAGACACTATGGGAAAGCCTCCTACCACCCCCACCGGACCTAAGAGATGCACCTCCAATAGATCTGGACTGTCAGAGACCAGATTCGAGACGAGGGGATGTCTCCGTAACGGAGGGCTTCGGCCTCAGCAACTTCTGCCAAGAGCGCTGTGCCTAGTGACACGTCCATGCCCTAACTTACTGACTGGCAATTAGAACCTAGGGGGGGTAACTCTAGTTGATTTTTCTACTGGGGCGTAACCTATGTACAAGTGGGATATATATATGGTTACAGCGGAGACGGTTCCGCAATTGGCGGAGCCGAACGGAGTGGAGCTAACAGGGTTTAAACATTAGCCGACTGAATATTACCGATGAGTCGGTTCACGGGGTTAGCGGAAAGGCAGGCGGTAACCCAGAAACGGAAAGGAGGGATAGGCCTGAAGGTGGGCTCTGCAGGGCAGGCGAGTGTATTGCCCAGCGGAGGCGGGGGTGCACTAGCGGACGTCGGAGCTGTCCGGAAGTCTTCGGGGCTCCGTACTTAGGGAGGCGTAGGTAATAAATTGAAATGAGGGGGTGGTGACCATCGAGGGGCGCCAAGAGGATTGCGGAATACGGGGGCTCCGAGGTTAGTGAGGGAGGAGCGGAGTTGGAACAGAGGGAACGGAGGGACCAGAAGTCGATGGCCAGGGATGGATATGACATGGACCCAAGGAATGAAGAAGACCTGGAGTACCCATGCATAACCAAAAGAGAGGTGCAGGACTCAATCTTCACCGCTGCTCAGCTAAATGCCCCAGGCATATCTGGCCTCACTGGCCATGCATGGCACTGGGCATGGAAAACCTTGGACGAAGAGATATTCCTCCTGCTCAGACTCTGTGCAGACTCAGGTTATCACCTGAAACTATGGAAGACATCCATAGCAGTAGCCTTACAGAAACCCAACAGGGACTACTCACTCCCATGTTCACACTGACTAATCCAGCTACTGGAAGTCTCAGGCAAAGTGCTAGAGAGAATCCAAGCAAGGAGACTAGCATACCTGGCAGCCAAATATGGCCTATTCCCATCAACCCATTATGGGGGTACCCCAGGCCGGTCTGCACAAAATGCCCTCATGACAATAGTCCATGACATCGAAGCCACCTGGAATCACAAAAAAGTAGTCTCAACTCTCACCTTCAACATCACAGGCTTCTTCTTCACATGCCCATCTGATCAACACACTCAGAGCATACCACATACCACTACCAATGGTAAAGTGGGTCCATAGCTTCCTAAAAGACAGAAAAACAGCCATTAGCGTAGATGGGAAAAGAGACCAACTGAGACCCACATCCATGGGTGTCCCACAAGGCTCATGTGTCTCCCACATCCTAGCAGCATACTTCACGTCTCCCATGGACAAAGCTATTAGAGAAAGTGTCAGACAAACAGCCTTGGCAGATGCAGAGCTAAATACCAAATTCAACAATGGTCTAACTGTCAGGGTTGTGCGTGCTCGCGATGAAGGATGCCCCAGAAACCTAATTGATATCAAAGCTGGGGGACATGCCTGTGCCAGCACATGGTCATATATACACGGTAGAGGTGGTAACTAGTCAACTAGCTAATAACTGGTAGTATCGGATCAAGAAAGATAGAAGATCATGTGGCATCATAACCGACAGCCACAGATCGGATCGGATCAGGGATGAAGAAGAAAAGAAGTAGAAGCTCTCCGCTCTCCCCCTAGTACTCGACTTACGATGTCACATCACGATCATGGAGATCGTGAACACTCTGAGGCCCACTTTCCCGTGATGCCGGCACGTTCGCTACGTGAACGCCAAGTCGCCGCCCATCCACCGTCTGTTCCCTCCTTCGTCAGTCATCATGTTCCCCCACCAACGGTACGTTCCCTTTGGGAATGCCAAGTCACCGAAGGCCCTATTAGTCAGTCCTCATTGCACGCTTATGATATCAACCCGCTACCGGTATGTTTGCACTGTGAACGCCAAGTACCTGATGGCAACTATACGAAGTTCTCACCCATCTCACAAGTCACATCCTCACACACGGTACACTCCATTGAGGAGCGCCAAGTACCCGTGGCTGACCCGTCCGTCCTGGCATCTCCGACTACCTACCATCAATCCCTTAATAGCTCACTACATCACCAATCGCAATCGATGGGAATTCGATCGTCCGCTCCCAGGCAAGACTGGGATCACTCATCGATTACATATCCCGTTATGGTACAGACTAGACATGACCCTTGTCATCCCACTATAAGAACGGATCGAGGAATGGGGAATTTTCCCCATCCCCATAACATCCAATGTGATCGTGATGAACGGCTACGATGGCAAAAGGTCTGTATCATAGACAATGTTGTAAGGAAATGAATGGCGTTCACGACCAAGTAGACGCTTATTGTACGCGCAATGGACATCAGGACGAATACGTGGTACGCTGGTGGTAGTTTTGGGATGGGAGATGGTTCAATGCTGGTGACAATCCAGGTGTTGATGATGATGGCATGTTTGCGTGAGTGGGATTATTTTTTTCTTCCTCCAACCTCGTTTTAAGGATGAGGATGTACTAATGAGAACATTTTCCCTTTGGATTAGCGGAGGTTCCTTACGATAACGGTGGATGCCAGTAGGATAATCCTTGCATTGCGATGAGGTGGTATCTGTAAGCCTGTCAAGTTCGCCTGGTCTTGCTTTTGCGTTCACTCAAACTTTCATTCCTAATCTTTCTGTTCATCAACAGTGGTCGTTCGGCCCTCCAGTGAGCTAATGGAGGTGTGATTGGAACCAAGTTTGGTGATTTTGTCAACGGTCAGTGACTCAACTTCTTAATTTGTTGCTTAGTTTGTGATTGCATGTCTCGATCGGACACCTTTGTTGGTATCAATGAATTCATTGCATCCCTGTCATCGACATCCATCAGGCTTTGCATGGGGATGTGCCGGGTGAGTTAATATTTTTGCTGGGCGGTAAGATTTTGGCTGGGGAACCGAGCTAAGACTGGTGAGTTTTGATGGCCTCCTTATTGGTTTCTCCCTCTGGGGAGTGTGGAATGTCGTTTGATTATTTTTTTCTTAGGAGTGGCTGGATATGGGACAGGACACGTGGGTTCCCTCTCCACTTCACGAGGCTGGTTTTCTGATCGATGACTCCTTCCCTCGGATTGGGCTTCAGAAAGGCCATTTTGGTGCGCACCTTTGATTTCCATAGATTCATCAGTCATTTATAAGACACGCTCATTCTCCATCGTTCCCGCAGTGTTTGCTCCATTTTGTTCTTTTTCAATTTCCCTTTCCTTTATTCCCCTACACTTCCGATGCTCCCTGGAGGTCCCGACGCCTCGGTTCAAGGGGATGAGAGCACATCCCTCGAGGTGTTCAAAGGCTCCGGGTGGAAGTGCCATTCCATTTTTCTTTATTTTCTTTTCTCTTTTCCTCTCTGGCCACGACTTGAATGAAGGATGGTGTCCAAGGAGAACATGGGGTGGGTTGGGGGGTGGAACAGGGAGAGAATGGCGACAATATCGGATGCAAAGATGGACGCATGCAGGGAAAGGGGCAGGCCCGATGGGAATTTGGTAACAGTCGCCAAACAGAATATGCGCAAGTAGGCGATCACGAATATGCGACACAAACGGTGGAGGAACTGGAAGGTAGTGGCGGTCTGGAAAGCATGAGAGAAGCAGCACAGTGGGACGATAGTGCAAAGAGCAGGGGGGAAGGCAGAGTAAACGGCATGAGAGTGGTGCGGTATAAGAGAAATTGGTTAGTGAGTTGGGAGGACCCCGGGTTATCTAGAATTGGCAATAATAGAGGACAAGGTCCTCCAACAGACGAAAGAGCAAACGCTAGCTGCTGAACTGAGGCAGCACAAGTGCCGCAGTAAGACTCCACAAGGAGTATGCACGGGTGAGGTGAACTCACTAGGATGCACAGCGCAACAAAAGGTTGAGGGAAACTTCAATGCAGACGGCTTGTCTGAAGCGCACATGTAAGTTTCCGGCCCCGTTGCAACCGAGGACTTACCAGTCCCGATGGAGCAAATGCAAAGGCAGCGCTGAGGGAGTGGGGAGAAGGGAAAATGCACGTTGAAAGACACGTGAAGACATTGAAACACGAGGACCAGTAAAGTCCCATCAGCGCTGCAAAAACGCAGGACCATGCGGCACCATTCAGTGCTAGTTACCGTCATGATTAGTCGTGTGAAATAAGAATATTACTGCGTTTTTGAGGGAATAACTGATGGATGCCACCTGTAGCGGCATTACCCACTACTCTTATCGGTTCTCTTATCTGACAGCCATGGAGGCAAGGTTGAATTTAACATTGTGATTTACAGTGCTGTCCCAAATCCCCCTGCCAAATCCCCCAGTCTTTCTTCTCTTTCAGCAGTGGGCCACCCACATGTGAACATCCGTAGAAGTGGGAATGAACCATTGTCTAAGGATCGAATAGCTAAACTTGTGTCACTGTGTGCTGTGGGCCTGTGGTACATTGGTATCTGCTCTACCAGCATATGCTGTGGTGATCAAATTCGCTTTCACAGCCTTATCCAACGTTTCCCTAATGTTTGTCGCCAATGTTGTCATCACCCATTACATGGTCATTTGCGGTTGCGGAAAATGACTCAGTGCTACTCAGTGCCACAAGGTTTTGAGCTGTAAGACAGATGAACTTATGTGAGCCTCCTGTTCTTTCGCGCAAACTTGTGCTAGTAGGATTTACAGATGGATTAATGCACGGATGTTATGTTCGCTGGGCGCTGATGTTACTCACCCGGCAAGACAACTCCCAAAGTCCTAGCTTGATTTGAAACAACAAGAGTGGCGTTCAGGATGCGGGTTGCAATGCATCAAAATTGAGTGTTAAGTTGCGCAGTGAGCTGTCCATAGCGACTGCATGAGTGAGTCCGTTCAGGGCTGGGCCCTGATTGGTTTAACGCGAGGTGGGTTTGAATGTGCAACAAGATGCTTTTTTCATGAGGATTGTTTAAAGGTTCGCATTCTGGCCAAGATGTGGCCTGTGTTCGAAGGCTATGGTCCTCCCAGATTGGGACCTACACCGACAGGTAGGGTACTAGGCTTTGCTTGTGGACTTAGGTAGACAGTCACCACCCGGGTGCGTAACATCAGGGCCCAGCAAACATAACATCTGTGCATTAATCCGTCTGTAAATCCTACTAGCACAAGTTTGCGTGAAAGAACAGGAGGCTCACATAAGTTCATCTGTCTTACAGCTCAAAACCTTGTGGCACTGAGTAGCACTGAGTCATTTTCCGCAACCGCAAATGACCGTGTAATGGGTGATGACAACATTGGTGACAAACATTAGGGAAACGTTGGATAAGGCTGTGAAAGCGAAAATGGGTAGTGAAGCATGGAGCATGGCATGAAGGGCGAGCTTTTAAAATGAGGATATGGAACTTGGCTTACAAATCAAGATAAGGACCCTGGATAGCAAGGGAATTTGCAATAATAGAGGACCTCTTGCACGGGCATTCAGTTTAAGCATTCAAGACCCGCTACAGAGTAGCGGGAATTTGTCAATTTCCAAGTGAATGGGGTATCAATACTGACCAACAACCGGTCACGCATCGTCCAGTTTGGAGCGTGACACCGGACATCCGACCGGCAAGCTTGAGTGATGCGTGACAGCCAACAGGCCGAGGCCAGAACTGCATGACACAACCCCTCGGACAACAGGTTTTCTGTCTTATATCCAAGAGAATTTGATAATATTTGAATTTTGAAATGGAAATTCTCATGGAAAATTTTCTGCCCGTGGCTTGTGCTGAGGAAACTATCACATACAACAACACCCCTATATTTCTCATTGGTTGCTACAGGCTGTTCTCGATATGCAAGCATCCTACTGGTGACAGTGAGATTCATCCTAACTCTACTACGGTAGTACATGAAGGACAATTCTCAGAAGCCATAGAGGATGATGTGGAGGTGATGTTGGAGGAGGTTTATGAACATCTCGACACCGGAACCCTTGCCGACGTGAATGGTGGCCTTCAGTTGATGCTGACAATCCATTGGAGAATTCACTGTGGTAGTTGGGTCTGAAGTTGGTAGTGGTGAGTTGGGATGGGGTAAGCGGCTTAAACAGGCGAGAAATCTGGAGACAGACATGCTTTTAACGATGTGGTTGGAAAATTTGAATTGAAAGCTTGCACAGCCACTGGATTCTACTCAACGCCGGACATTGGGCTGGCAGGCCTGCGTGAAAAAATGCCGACCAGCAGGGTCAGCGTGATGCGTGACTGGTTGTTGGTCATGCCAGTACAGTATGTTTGTCAGAAATCAGGCCCAAAAATGAGCAAATTTCGGGGACCTTTTATTTTCAATACAGTTAGGATTGTATTGCAATATAGTATGTTAGCGCTGCACTGCCATTCTGCATTCCCCATTGGTAATCATTGATGACGACTGCAGCACTGATGAACCGCATAAACACACTGTTTGGCTCTGGACCTCCATGCATCAACGCATTACCAAACGTACTACTCCAGAGGTGAAGCGCCTTATCACCCTAATGTCCCAAATCCTCTACCAAAGGGCTGCCCAACTCAGTAAGCGCATGGTTTACTGTGTCATCTTAGCTCATAGTCAAGGAATCCCCTTTGAGAAAGCTGGAAACCGCGGGGGTGCTCAAAAATTTAACAACTGGGATCTGGATGTGAGCAGGATAAATCACAGCCATCAGTTGATTTCGCTGAATCTCCCAAGTAGGTCACCTTGAGCTTGAGGCAGACCCGTGCATCCACGAACTACAAAGAGACATGGCACCGCATCTCTGTCTTCCAGAGTACAATCTGGACCAGCCTGAAGCAGCGAGGTTTCATGTATAAAAAGGTCAACATTCTGAAGAGTTTGTTCCTTACGAGCAAAAGCCGGCTTTTGAACCCGAATGAAGAACTATGTGCCGCATTTAGGCAGTATATGGGTCAGCATTATCAGGTGGATCAGCTTGTTTTTGTTGTTGAAACTGGTTGCAACCACAACACTTCTTCGCACTTGCATGGCTGGGGCACCACCTGGTACCCAAGTGTCAGGGCACACCCGCCTGACCCGGCCCCACCTAACCCGGTGCCCCACCATCCGCTCCTCCCGACCTCCCCCTCTTTTCCCTTGCCTTTCTTCTTCCCCTTCTTTTCTATTCTCTCTCCTCTTTATTCCTTTCTTATCACACGGACGACTTCCTTTGTATCAATGTACCATTGACCCGGCTGCAGTGTAATGCGCCCGAACCCGGACACACCGGATGACCCCCCGCATACCAGACGCTCCTAGGACCTCTTACGGAGGTACCCGGACGGAGGTGGCTGTGTGCTTGGATGATGTGGCGCTTCCCACGTGGCCTTCAACCACATGTATATAAACACAGCCTAAGTGGGAACTGAGAAGCAACCTTCTTCTCACATTTCCCACTTTAGGCAAGTAGCTTACACTTCCCCTGATAATAACAATAACACATTTCCCACTTTAGTCTCAGTGGCCAGGGACCCTTGTCTGCTTCGGGCCCGTTGTTACGCGCGCCCGCATCATACCTACCGGACCCTCAGCCTCGGGCGATACACCCGGGCGCTCTCGACCCCGGGTCGGTCCCTGACACCAAGCATGTGTTGAAATCCTTGTTTTTCTTGGTACGCTGTGGACCATCCATTGAGTCCGTCGGACTATACATCTTGCGCATGGGCATTTCCATGAAGGATTGCCCGATGCTTCTACTTTTGGCATCCATGTTGATGAACGCAGTCGAGGATGACTTAAAAGCCACCTTGCGCGATTTTTCTCTTTCCTCTCTCCTCAGTTCACATCTTTGGAACTGAGGTGAGACTCCCTTTTCATCACTTGGAATATTGTCTAATGTTGTGTATATTTCCTAGCGCTAATTCGCGACTAGGTAATGATTAATAACAATAGTTCACATCTTTGGAACTGAGCGCTAATTTGCGACTAGTTCATAATTCCAATAGCATGTTGTTGGGACTTCTTTGTCCAAGGCACTAAGTATGTAACATGCTCTGGATCTATTTTTCAATCCCAATGTCTCTTTCTCAGGTACTCTATATCCCCGCTCTCAGCGTCGAAGGAATATTCAAGAGCGAGCATACACAACAGCCACATCCAACGACTTCATCTGTTCTATCCGAACCCCTGGCTGACTTAACCATTTGGCTCAGATGATTGTTAGAATAATGATGTTATTTTCTGTCCTAAAAGTGCTCAAGCATGGCAGCTTAGAATGGCAGTGCAGCGCTAACGTACTATATTACAATACAATCCTAACTGTATTGAAAATAAAAAATCCCCAAAATTTGATTGTTGTTTACTGCGTTTTTCAGAGAATCTGTCCGATGAAAAATGAATGGGGTATGACCCCATTCGTGAGAAATCAACCAAGAAATGACCAAATTTCTGGAATTTCCACCTTTCAATACAGTCCGAATTATATTTCAATATAGTAATTAGTGCTGCACAACCATTCCAGCTGTGAACCCGTTGAGACCTTCGGGCCTCGCTAGATAGTCGATTGGCCAACAGAGACATCATGGTAGATCTCTAATATTCGTTGTACTTCATGAAGGTGGTAAGCTCGATATGACCGGGTTGATAGATTGAGCACTAGCGCCAACTGATTGTTGTACTCACATGCAGATCCTAGTTGTTCAGAGCCCTGACTTGTTATGCAATGAGCCAATGAGACATGGATAGCTGCCAGCCACCACTGTTCTCGAACAACTCTCGTGATGGCAATTGTGTTTAGACATGAGATGCATCAAAACCAACCACGGAAAAGATGGCCAGACGTTAGTTTTATCATGGCCAACGTGAGGACAGGAATTGAAAGCTAGGTTGCTGGATCTTCATCGATGTAGCTGCCATCCAACAAGGAATGTGGAATGGCTGTGCAGCGCTAATTACTATATCAATAATATTGAAATATAAATCGAATTGTATTGAGAAGTGGAAATTCCAGAAATTCAGTCATTTCTTGGTTGATTTCTCACGAATGGGGTCATACCCCATTCACTTTTCATCGGACAGATTCTCTGAAAAACGCAGTAATGACCTCATTTCACGAGATTAATCATGGGTCAATGACCAGAATCAGCCCAGCTGACACTGCAACCTCTCTTGCTCAATCGGACCCCGCTGCGCCTGTCTCAGCACCGCACTCACCCCTTTGCTGCCCTATCTTTCACGAGTCGCTGCGCAAACCTGACCATTTGATGGACCCAGGAACCATGCCTCAGTTGTACGCTGGGTTTTCTGGCGCGGATGCACGAAGCAGATTATACCAGTAGAGGTACGTACTGAACTTCACTCCTCACGAGAATGCTTACGATAATTCAGGCCATGTTTATAAAAAGGGCTTCCATGATGCCCCCTTTCCTCTCCTTATCGGCTGAATCTCCTCGCATCTCTCGTGGTGAGTCAAACACCAACTTGCTGCCGCTCATCAAAACTCACTCGTGAACTGCCGCTGCTGCCTCTCCCACTTCCCTGGCTGCCGCTATCATCTTAACCCGCTCATATCCGCTGCTATAGTCTGACTAGTTTTGTCTCTCCCAACCCCAACCCCTTTCGCCACCATTAGAACGATCTTGAGCTTTTGTCTTGCGAATTGTTTTTCCGAATTTGCGTGTATTATCAGTATCTGCTTGTGTTTGTCTTTGGTTGTTTCCCTTTGTTCCGTCTTGTGCATGGGCGAAGGCGTAACGGATAGCGTGGCGACGGCCCCGACAGGAAGTCGAAGCCTCTTGATTTGAAGCGAGCCGGTAGATACAAAAAACCCCCCCCAAAAAAGGAGGCGATGGGGCAGGTGGAGGGTAACAACGAAGACAAGTGAGAGTAGCAGCAGAGAAGCGCCAACAAAAGAGAAGAAGTGAAGTTACAAAAACAAGGCATGAGCCGAAAAGAGAAAGACACCGTAAACATCCAGGATCCAACTCGCAAAGGGTAACCAAGGCTAACTGCCTTATCCAATGCAAGACCGAATATTCAACGCCAACCAACCACCCTAACCAAAACTAATAAGAGAATTAGTTAGAAATATATGTCAGAGTCATAGAAAAAGGAAATAAACTCCAGCGTGCATGGACGCAAGAGAGATAAAAGACTGTAGAGCAACAGCGTGCAGCGGACGCAAGAGGTGGTGGCTGAGAAGCCAAAGCATACCGCGGACGCAGAAGAGAAGGCACGGAGGCCGAAGCACTCAGCGGGCACGCATAAAAGAAAGAAGGCACGGAGGCCGAAGCGTACAGCGGATGTGTGTAAAGAGAAAGAAAATAAACCTACGTTGTAGGAGAAATAACGGCCACACTATGGAAACCCATTATGGAAATATGCCAGATAAATCACAAAAACCTCATACGACAAGTAGATATGAGAAAATAGAAGGACCTGAATTTTAACGAATTTTACGAATTTTTACGAATTATTATGACTATACACGATAAATCGAAAGAAAGAAAAATAGCAAAAATACTTCAAACTTACTATCAACGAGACGGAATTCTCGGGGGAATTTATAGCAAATATTAAACCAAGAATTAGGACAATCGACCAAGATTTGACTATAAAAATAATCAGAGAACCTCCACGGAAACTACTTTCCCACGTCCGAACACGTAGCCAAGGATGGAAGTACCACGGAACGAAGATTCCTCAGGAACTAATGCAAAAGTCAGAGTCGTGTTTACAATAGGAAATGTAGATGTCCTCCAAACGGAACCAATGAGAGTAATTACAGGGGAAACTACCTATAAACGATGGAGATATGACTAAAACTCCTGCAAAACGAGGACAATGCCTAAAAGGGAAGCGCGAAGATTAACCAGTAACGACCGAGACAAGCTTGATAGCCCATTAGAAAGGAAGGGATCCAATCTTAATCCTCCCAAATTTTCATAATAAAAGGATCATGCGTGAATGAGATATCCAATAACGGGAATAGTGACATCAAAAGTCCGAGCTTAGGGAAAAGACGATGTTTGCATAGGATCCATAATTAAAACATACAACGAAATTTACACGGAAATTATTAAAAATGGGGAACTATAGTTATGCAAATTTTCAGCCCAAACAGTCCAGCCGTTGTGAAGTTATACCCATGATGGGAATATAGAAATCCGCATCATGTGTAATGACACGTGAGGGTGGCGATGCGCAGGGAACCAGCCGTCGGAACCGAGATCCGCACTTCGGCAGATCGCGAAGACCAATTTCCGTCCAAATAAGGAAGAGCCCGGTCAAAACAAAGCACGGAAAGTGCAAAACAACCTTAAATCATGAGGGAAAAATCTGAAATAAATCACAGAAGCCCATATGAAAGAAATCAACACCCACGCATATCATAAATCCCGAACAATTAAACGGAAACGGCGCCCGCATACGAACGACTATGGGAATGACGCACGTGATTACCGAATGTGCGCACGAACTTTTGCTAACTCAACGAATACCAGGAAATAGGACACAACCTTGGTACCATTGGAAAGGTGGGAATAAATGAAAATTTATGATACCAAGAACGTGAGAAAACATCCAGAAATGAATGAGATATAAGGACATGAAGTTAGAAACCTGAAAACGCGCGGGAAAACAGCTTCAAGAGGTCCAGAGTCCTAAATAAAATACATAAAAATATGAAATCTTCAAGGACGACCTACTATAA